ATGCATTAGGTATCATTTAAAATTTTAATAGATGGTTTCGACTCAAGAATTTTTCTTCGAGATTCATTTGCTATAGTGAAAGCAAAGTTTATACAGCTCTGAATAAATGCGAACCTTTGACCGCAAACCTACCACTAAAAAACCTAACACTTTAAAATTCTGAGATTCTTTAAAATGAAATATATTTAATGAAGCAATATGTAACGTCTGAGAGAATATTTTCCCAAAATTCCTAAAGCCTATTTCCGTCTCTGGTTATTACTGATCTACGACCTCGATTCGAGGCTTTTAAAAACGAGAGGAGTTCGGAGGTAAGCCCGTTACTGGCGGGTCGGTGTAATTTAATTTCATGAGTGGCCTGCCAACGGCGGTGATTTGTAACAGGCCAACTTCTGAGCAAGTTTGATAAGGTTTCTGGCCAATTACGCTGGGCATGCATTTCTTTTCATTCGCACTTGTTTGGTATGTTTCGCATGAGCTTTTAGTTCGGGCGTCTAAAGAAATTTTCTTCCTGCCATCCGTTACTTATAGCTGCATTTGGAGTTACGAATTACGTTCGAATTGTGGTAATGCATTGATTACGTAGTGCCATCTCCAATACGAGATACGAATCCGAATTTCCATCAGGGACGAACAGTAGTGCAACTACTGCTTAGTAGCAGTAGTCTGCCACGGAAGACGCAGGATCGAATTCCACAGCACCGAATTAAGAGTATTTTGTGTGTCGCAAATTAAAGTTTCATCTTTAGTGCAGAGCCGTGATAGCTCAGTGTCCGGGCGCTCGCTTTTAATTCAATATACTCGAGCAACCTGAGTTCGATCCCCGGTGCCGGCACCAATGGAGTTTTTAACTTTAATTGCTGACTTATCACGTGCTCCGCGGTGAAGGAAAACATCGTGAGGAAACCTGCATATTTTCGAAATATTAAAAAAAAAATTTCGAAGATATGTGAACTCCGCCAATCGCGGGGCCGCGTGGTGGACTATGCCCTGATACCCTCTGGATTGAGGAGGCCTTTGCCCAGCATTGGGACATGTATAGGCTGTTACTTTACTTTACTTACTTTACTTGAGTGCACAGACTAGCTTTAAAAATATAAATTAAATCTAAAATCATAAATTCAATATGAAATGCATCCACCTCAATGTTTTAAACCGTATGCTATGACGACCGTGTTCCATTGATAGTACCAAGCAGGTTCGGTTAGGAATGCTTATCATTCTCCCTATATCGTCTTTATTTAAGGTTACTTTTAAAGCTGTTATGTACACTATTATAAAGTTAATTGTATACCCAAACTACCAAATATTAATACCAAATATTATACCAAGTATTAATAGGTACTTGGTATAACTAGATTATACTTAACACTTACATATGACGCGGTGACGTCAGCGATCGTGGGTTTGATTGCCACACGGGACAAGTATTTGTGTGCCCCACGGGTAGTAGCGGATTTGGGTGTCTCTTCCCGAGGAGGGTTGACGACAGGAAGGCAACCGGTCGTAAAAATCTACCCAAAACCACTTACAACCTGTTCACCTGTGGTGCTGATAAAGGCAGGAGAAAGAAAGAAGGAGACGTCATACATAATTTCTTTTCGAGATTGGAAGACTAGATTAGAACCGGATCGTTTAGCTGTGAAAAAAATGTAAGTAACTTTGCACACAAGACTATCAGGACATCAAGCGGGTAACTAGCAGCGATCGGTGTGAATCGTCCCCCAGGTAGCCAATTAACCCACCCCCTCCCCTCCACCCGTGTCCCCCTCTCCACGGTCCCACAGTCGCGTGCCTAACGAGATGTCAAACTTTTTGCAGACCCGCCCCTTTGTTTGTTGTCCCACCCGATAGAGCGACACTGGCACTTTTTGGCCGCTACGATTTCTATTGAAATAGCGCGGGTTTTTTGTCTGGGACAAAAACATTGGAAAAAGAAACGTCGAATGTTCCACAAATGCTTCAAGTGATTCGTGTTTACCTGACGTTCATATTGGCGATGTCAAACTTGCGAAAGCCTTGACGTGGACAAACATTTTTACCTAAGCGATTTTAGTAGGTTGGCGAAATGAAAACGTGGTTTACTTAGATATACCTTATATTTATACTAGCGATCCGCCCCGGCTTCGCACGGGTACAATATATTATACATATAAACCTTTCTCTTGAGTCACTCTATCTAATAAAAAAACCGCATCTATATCCGTTGCGTCGTTGTTGTAGATCTAAGCATACACAGAGACAGAGAGACTGCAGGACGACTTTGTTTTATACTATGTAGTGAAACCTTTAAAAATGAAATCATATAAAATATAATAAGTACAAAAAGGCATATAATGTATAATGCACGCCTTTAATCTGCGAACGCTCGCATGTGTCACATGTTATAAATATAGCGTCATGTATAAAAGACGAATGCGCCTTGGTCCGACTTATGTTTGACGCAGCGGTGTGTGACAAATCGAATTGAGCGGAATATAAGGAGGTCGGCGCGGAATGGGATATTCAAACAGCCGCCGGCCCAACTGACCGTGGCCGGCTGTGTGTAACGAATTGTTCACGGAACGGAGTCGGGCCCCTAAGAGGCTTGTTACGAAAGCGGATTTCTCGTGGACTCGTTAGGCGTTTTATAGCCGAGCGCCGGGCCGCCGTGCGCCTTTTTGAAGAGATGAGAAACTAGCGAAAGCTTTTTTTTGTGTGAAAAGTTGTTAAGCGAGCAGGTGAACTGATGTTAAGTGAATACCGCCGCCCATGGACGGAGGGTTTGCAGATGCGTTGACAACCTTTTTGAAAATTGGGCTCCGGCTACCCCACTCACCAGACGAAACGCGAAAGTGTACTTCCACTTGACGCCGGTCTTCCGTGAGGTCGTGGTATTTACCCGGACGAGCCTGCCCCCTCGTGCAACAGCCGAGATTGCTGCGTGGCCCTACCACAGTTAGCCTTTTCGAAGAGATGAGAAACGATCGAAAGCTTTGTGTAAAATAAAGTAACATCATATATATGACCCACTATTGGGCAGAGGCCTCCTCTGTACAGATTGTATAGAGGATATTAAGGTAGTCGGCCGCGCGACCCCACTACGGATTGGCGGACTTCACATTTATTCGAAATATTAATTTTTTGTTATTATTTCGTAAATATGCAGGTTTCATGTCGATGGTTTCCTTCACCGCTGAAAACGTGATAAGTCAGCACTTAAAGTTAACAATTTCATTGGTGCCGGCACCGGGGATCGAGCACAAGTTGCTAGAGTACATTGAATTAAAGGCTAGCGTCCGGTCTTATAATTTTTTTCGAAAAAACTTCGATACCTTAGAATACGCCATAACCAGAACTGCAGTATCCTTATCGGCTACATAGCGAACATTTACCCAGACGAGGTAAATTTAAATCAAAAACTTTGAAAGGCATAAACCGGCTTCGTGTGAACAATTCATGATCTTTGTTGCATTACAATGTGGAAAGGCAACTTGAACAATGTATAATTGTACGCGAGCGCAGAGCGATGTCACGCAACACCGGGCGCCGGCGCTAGTCTCGCAGCAGGCGTCGGAGGCGGGACCTCGCGTAATCACCAAAGTTAGCGTCGACAATCGACGCGCATAGCCGCAAGACGTAATATGTATTTACATACGCCCGGGGGGTCCGCCGCGACGAACTACGCAGACATGTTAGTTTGCGTGCAAATTGTGAGTTTGGCTCATTACATATACTGTATGGATGTTGTGCAAATGACAAACTGCTGACGGATTGCCTTGAATTTTAAGTTAGATTACATTTCAGGGAATTGTAAGGCATCAGTTGCCTAGACCTGTTTTTAAAGCCATCTCATATTGCCGATTGGAGATTTCCTTTTAAGTCTATTATATCTAAACGTTAACTTAACCTGTACTATATTATTACTTTTGCAAGCCAAATAAATCTAGTGAACTTATTTATTATTATTATATAGAAGTGTTACTTACCCCAGTCATAATTAAAAAAACATTTATTTCTTTTAAGTATTTATAATATAAGCCCTACCTTAAAAAGTAAAGCTAAGCCTATATCTGTCTAACTGCTAGGCAAAGGCCTTCTAAGGGTACTAGGGTATCATAATTCTTTAAGCGGCATCACCATATCAAACGCTGGCCGATAGGTATCAACATAAATAAATACATGTTGAAAAAAAAAATTTTTAGTGCGAAAGACACACGGAGAATTGTATTCGCTCGCCCCAGGATATTATTGTTGGCGGGGCGATTCTCGCTGCCGTCCAAATCCCTTTATGAATTCAAAGAGCGAACGGCGTCGGGCGAAAATTAATAACGTTTTAATTTGCCAATTCGCGGCGCACACGCTGAATATCGAGCAATCGCGTTAATTTACGAATTATAGAGAAAAAGGATTTTCATTTCCGTTGTTTGGCCGGTCGGTTATTTGGCTCGTTTGGCCTCGGGACTTGTAAAGCTGTTGTATAACAATATACCAGCGTTATTGTTTCGTTTTGTCTATTTGTTAATAAATACATATTGGACATAAAGCTCAGTGGACTGTCACATAGCCTTTCGGGTTCGTTCTCGATTCGGGAGACAAATTTATACGAATTTCACGATTCCATAGTCATCGTTTTTACGCATATGTACAAAGTACGGTCTCGATTTTGAAGACTGTAAATGTTTTCTATTGTTGATGTCGTTGTTTTTTTTTTTAATAAAAACAATATATCGTTAAATTTTTCAATTTTTACTTTATCACTGTTTCTGTTGTTAAAAACATTTATTTATTTTTTTATTTATTTATACTTCATTGTTACACTTTAGGCTAAAGGCTACAATGGGCAGACTTAATGCCTAATGGAATTCTCTACCAGTCAACCTTTGTCATGGTGAGAAGTAGATGGCAATAAACATAATCTCACTTAGAGTTAAGGTGGGTTTGAAAACATTTAATATTATAAAAACTAAAGAGGAACGTATAAGTTTGTAAGCCTTGAGAGAGGTGACGATCGCATTACAATGAGGGCAATTCGGCAAGTTTGCGTAAAGATCGGGATCGCTGCCGCTCCTGTGTTCCTCGCGAATAATTCAGCGGGAACTCAAGGCGGCAAATACGGGATTATGTTAATTTGGCAGCTACTTCAACATTCAAATCCGATCTTCGAGTGTCTGATGCGGACCCTTGGCGAGGCGAGTTTTACGGCGCTCACGCCCGGGCGATGTCTGCAGACGCTTTGGAGAGGCGCGCTCTGGAAGTGGCCCGAATATTTCACATCCGCATTTCGCCCGCTTGAAGCGAATCGAAGCGGTAAACTCCCGCGACTCGTGTTCGTTGAATAATATCTTAAATTAAACTCTGATGTATCATAAGACATTCAAGGTACATAATAGTTGTGACTTGAATTCAAAAAAAAAAAAATAATTTGCGCCGGTGTGGCAATCAGCCGTTTAGCTTAGTGGCTAAAACGTCAAGGCCACGAATGCCGAATACGGGTGGGTTCGATTCCCACAGCGGCGACAATATTTTCGTACTTTTTCTACAAATTTTAATCAGCGACCATTTGTATGTGGCAGTTGCAAGTCGGAGGCTGGTTTATATTCTTTTTACAAACGGTACATAAGAAGGTGTTTACAGAATTTCATTTTTAGCAAGATTTTGGTTTCTCTTTCACATTAGCATTTAGGACTTTATGGTAACATAAAACACCTACATAATGATGTTCTTAAAATATCAGAGTAGTGTGTTTTAGTTATGTACATGTTTGTTTTAAACTCTTAGGTAAAATGATCATAGTGTTTTTAAGTTTTCATCAAAGTTAAGAAAACTAAGGATTTGACGTAGGTCCAGTAATTCAATTCTGTATGTTAAAATTAATTAAAGGTTTTTAAGTTAAGCTCAAAAAGATTAAAGTTAAGTTTGTTATTGACTAAATTAATTAGATTTTGTTGAAACATCTGAAAGTTCATCAACTCTAAACAGAAAACTTTTCAGCTTGAACAGCGAAATTTTAAATTTATTTGAGAATTATTATCAAGACGCCAACTTAACTTTGACTTAAGAAAGTTATCATTGTTTATAACTAGTGATTCTATAAAACTATTGACTTAAATAAAAAAGTTATCATTCTTTATAAAAAGTGATTCTATAAAACTATTTATATAACCTTAAGTACCCATTTAGTCTTTAACGTCAATGCTTTCTGTTCCCTTAGCCGGGCTGCGTCGATCCTCCGTTATTTCAACTGTCAATTTGGACAAACGCTTTTTATTTCTATAGAAAAGTTGGCGTAAAAAAATCCAATTGGTGTCCCACAATTGACCCATGCGAAAGGGTGGCTAGTTGCTTAGGGAGCGTTTGAATAGCGACTCGTTGTCCACCGGTCGTCACACGTCACCGAAAGTATTATAAGGGTGGGTCGAATTAGCTTTATTCTCTCGTCGCAATTTTTTTAACTGGGCATATACCGAGGATATTTATGTTGACTTTGTAAACGATCGTAATGGTGATTTCTCTCATTCACGGCCATTGAATTTCGGTTAATCAAATGACATATTTATTAGTTTGCCGCTTTTAATTTTACAAGTACTATGTTAAATTATATATTGATAAAATAATAACAAATAAACATTTTTACACAACATTCTCTAGTCCCAAACTAAGCAACTTAAACATACTTTTCTTTTGTATTTACAATACATATTATAAATTATATAAACACTCAGACGCTGTTTTGTAGATGTAGCTGTGGAGATCGAACCCACACTCCCTGGCTCAAATGGCAGGTGCACTGCCCACTACGCCAATCGTTTAAATAATTCCATTCAACAAATATTGGAAGCATATTTCAATATTTCCTGTAATCCATTGGCGCGTATTTAATTTCAGCTTCACATTTGATTCACACATTCTGTAATACAATGATATTTTGTTAATGAAGTTGTATTTACGGATTTCGTATTTAACAGACAGACTGTCTGATTGATAGACGTAGAGAAATTTTACATTCAAAATTACATAATCCGAAAATAATAATATAACGATATTAGGTGCAAACGTGCGGAAAGTCGATAGATGCAGTTGGCTCTGGATCGTACTTCGTGGCTGGCGTGGACTATGTTCAGCAGTGGACTCAAACAGGCCGTGTGAGGCCGTGGTACCTACCCGGGCCTGCCCATTCGTGCAACAGCAAAAGCTGTGTTGAGTGACCCTACCACAAATAATATAATTTTACCACGACCCTAATTTCAACAAGGCTTAACACCGCGGCTGGTGACAAGAGAGCTGGTTCTTTCCTCGCTCAAAGGTTAAGCATAACTATTCAGCAAGGAAATTCAACAAGCGTTCTTGGCATCATGGCGCGTGGATTAGGTTTATTAGATAATATGTAATTTTAGATAGATTTAACCTTGTAAATATTAGATTAATAAATGTATTATTTCATAAAACAAAATTGAACAGTAATGTTATAATTATGCCATAAACTACACAGAGTAGTCACGCCGGATAACACTACACTCACAGCTAGTGTAACAACAAACACAACAGTTCGCCCTCGCCTCCGAGCACGGCGAGACCAACACAACGGGTACACAAGGTACACCCGCGTTCCAGGGCGGTTCTCACCACCCCCAGCCACCGATTAGCTAAAAACACAGTCGACGGCCATCGGGGTCTCGGTCCGCACCGCAACTTCGATGGCCCTTAGATGACATGTCGCAGTTAAACGCACGCATGAGCACATTCGCGGCCCTACCCACAGCGGAGGGCCCAAACCCGTGGGCTCTGGCTAGCCCACTGGTTCTGCGTCAGATGAAGCTTTAATAGTCTCGGGACTGAAAGCAAAAACATCAGTTAATACAAGATACAAGATACAAGATACTACATCGCAACCTAGCGAGTTATCGCTAAATTATAACGATATTAACAAGGAAATGTTATTTGAGCAGATAATTTTGTTTTTTTCAAACCGTTCGTAAATGGAAACGAAAATACTATCGACTAACTTCGCACTACTCGCAATCTATTATTTCCCTCGTATAAAAAGGCTCAGTTATCAATTCTGTGTATCGCGAGATGAGTTCCCATAACGATGGCAATACGAGACCTCGGGGCCCTCGGTCGATCCTTTGGAGTGGTCCAAGTATAAGAGACAAGCGTCATACAGTTTTTATATTTTCATGTATAAACGTGGCGAAGTTATTGATATGTGCCCTATGTTTCCATGATGGATAGTTTTCGTGTTCCAATAAGCAATAAAATGGTATAAGTTTTGTTGACATATTACAAAAAATTAAAATTTATTTAAAAATTTTATTGGGTCCTTTTCTACGAAGTGCTTTAATTTTGTAATGCTCAATATATCTATGGTAACGGATGGGACTGAGATTTTCATATTTTGTAGAATTAATTTCTCTCGTGAGTTATTTGTCTGCTGAGAACACAGATAGAAACTTTTTTTGGACATTTTAATACCATTCAAATTCAAGTCTTATTTTCAACTTTTCTGAGTTTCCAGAAACATTATAGGAAACAAACAAATTTTGCGCTCAAAATAAACAACACTTTAAATAAATCGCATTAGAAAATTTTTACGTCATATAGTTATTATAAGAACTGTTTATCACATTTTTAAAAGAACTATGTTTTTAAAAAGGATATTTAATTTTGCCATAATACCAAATAGTTATAAGCTTCGCTAAGACTCACTACAGCACCAGAATTGCAATTAAAGTTGCTTGAATGTTGAATTAAAGGCGATACGAAATGAAAGTTGTTCGAAAGGATAGTTAGTAAAGTGTCAGCCTATACATGTCCCACTGCTGGGCAAAGACCTCCTCTATACAGAGGGTATCAGGGCATAGTCCACCACGCGGCCCTACTGCGGATTGGTGGACTTCACATATCTTCAAAATATCATTATTTCGAAAATATGCAGGTTTCCTCACGATGTTTTCCTTCACCGCTGAGCACGTGATAATTCAGCACTTAAAATTGACAATTTCATTGGTGCCGGCACCGGGGATTGAACTCAGGTTGCTCGAGTATATTGAATTAAAGGCGAGCGCCCGGACACTGAGCTATCACGGCTCTCACAAGATGTCACAAGATGTAATTTTGCTAATAGGCGTAGTCCCCATAAAATGTTTTTACGCTTAATTTGCCAAAAATATTGTATATCACTCTTCTTTAAGTTAACATTAACTTAAATAAATAAACAATTGGTTGAGAAATCTTTAAGGACCGAGATATGAGTTCAGGTTGTTTAGTTGTAAACTCAAGAGTCGATTTGAAGTATCGTAGTTCAGCATGCTAAACATTGTAAACAACAAGTAATTTAAGATCATCGCTTAACACTTGGGCCATACGTGCAGCCTTAAGACGGTCATTTAGCCGTAATAATCGCCCAGTGTGGACTAGAAAGAAACAAGCGAGACGCACGGGCCCCGTTCTTTATTATACGTGTTCACGTGTAATTGGAAACGCTGCTTGAAAAAGATGCGGAGGGGACCGTATCTTTTATCTTTCAGCTGATAGCTGCGTGGATTTTTTGTTGTTATTGCCAAGGATATTGGCAGATTGTTTCTCTGTTATTTAGTATACGGATTTGTGTTTTTTTTTGTTTTGTACAAAGGAAACCCCTTTTTCGTTCGGGCGATTTGATATTGCCGTCGAAATATTTTTAGCATTTTCAATACGCGTAAAAAGTTTGATGATAATTTTAATATTTTCGAAGTAGAATATTAGAATTATGTGGCTAATTTGAACTGATCTGCTACCGTTATGGTGTCATAAAAATAAAGAAACCATGTTTTATAGGGTAAAAACAAGATTTACTTGAATCTTGTCAAAGTAAAGAGAATAATCAGAAAGAATGTCTGAGGCAAGGACATATTATATCAACGTAATTTAATTTTTTCTCATTACTTTCCAGTTATTATAATTAGGATACTATAATTACTACTAAGCCAAACAACAGCCGTGATAGCTCAGTGTCCGGGCGCTCGCATTTAATTCCATATTCTCGAGCAAACTGAGTTCGATCTCCGGCGTCAGCACGAGTGAAATTGTTAATTTTAAGTGCTGACTTATCATATGCTCTACGGTGGAGAGAAAACACCGTGAGGTAACCTGCATATTTTCGAAATAATAACAAAAAAAGAAATATTTCGAAGATATGTGAAGTCCGCACGTCCGCAGTGGAGCCGCGTATTCGACTATACCTTATGCGACTATGCATGATACCGTCTGTAAAAGAGGAGGCCTTTACCCAGGCCTTTTTAACTTTTACTTTACTGAGCCAAAAAATATCCGTCTTCAATGTCATAAAGGGAAAGCA